TTTGTAATTGTGGGTTGTCTAAAAATACATGGTATGTTAGATTGAAACTTATGGGAACTGATATCCGATTAATGACCTTGAGAAATGTCCAGAAAAAAACTATTTAACAAATTTATGGTGGTCCTGAAAAGGAAAGTTTTGTCGTAATGGTTGAGTAATGCTGAGCTACTATTAGCAACAATCAATACGAAACTAACGATTTTAAATTGGCTCACTACTTGACTAGCCTATTGGTCCCAAGCAAACGATTAACGTACCCCATTCTAGTCGAAATTCTAGTACTACGCAATGTTTGTTTTGATTCACTATGAAAGTTTGACAGATAAAATGAGGGGTTATTGGTTTTTCCTCTGTTTCGAGGGGTGAATCGATTAGCTTGGGACCGAAGAGAGTACCAGAGCTGAGCCAAAAAGTTGAGCACGTTTCTTCGGGACCTTCTAGTCTTAGAGTTACCTCTATGCTATTAGTGTGTTCAATACAGATAAAGCTGTCGAGCTGTATGTTGTTTGGAACGAGGGCGATGCACTTGGAATAGATGGCCCACTGTGGCGCACGACGCGCAACTGAATCCGATCAGTAGCGGTGCGGCTTCGTCCTCTTTCTTCGTAGAATCGAAGGCTGAATCGAGAGCATGCAGCTAGCTGCATGTCGGCAGGCTTTCATTATCTACTGGAGAACGCCAAACGCCGAAAGCACTGCTGCTGCTGCTGCTAATGACGACCGAACACCACCACTCACCATACGCAGTGATTGAATAAACACCGTTTGGCAAGACCGGAGTGAAATCAATTTTTAAATCTGTGTTAGGAAAAGCGCTTTTCGCAGGCAATCGGTGATAATTTAAATTGTGATAGCAACAGTTGCACATAGTGACCTATTGACAATTGATAAAGTGTTCATTTTAACAGATTTGTAGATGACTTTCCAATCGATTGGCTTGTTTAGAATTAAAATCCATCCTATATGGACAGAGTTATAACTGTTCAAAATCTTTCATAATTTTGTTACATGTTCCATTTTGGGTTTTCACAAAGTGTACCCCCATATAGAGATCACAGACGTAGTCCTACGTCAAAATTGCTGGATGTTTTCTCCGTCGAATGAAATATTTCCCAGTATGGGTATTGGTTTATTTCTCCATTTATAAACTTTTCGTTACATGCCTCCCATGCCTGAAATAATAATAATCTGAGAGAGAGAGGAGACAGCTTTGCTATCGATCATGCAAACGTCATCGAGATCCAGTCATGAACTGTCACTGCAAACTAGGCCGAACATTACACGGATAGAAATCTCCTTATAATTTTTGGCAAATTTCTATTGCTGATTATTCATAACATGTATAAGTCAACTAATAAGCAGACGCCTTGCAAAATGTTAATGAAGCTCATGTGTCAAATGAAATGTATAAGCGGTCACACATACCTTTTATGCATTCTTATAGGACCAATGTGGTTTGTCTTATGGAATGTATAAGGCTGATGTTTTGGCAAAAATGTATAAGTGAAACACATGAATAAAATAATTGATTTTCGTTTCGTGTAGAAATGGGGCTATCATCCTTTTGAAAACAACTTTTTCGTGCGGGCCCGGTCTTTCCTTCGCAAACCAACAACACGATTGGGTAGGGGAGAAAAAAAGAAGACAAAGAAAACAAACCATCCGTCATTGAGCTGGCTTCTCTCTCTATGATAAAAATGATGTTTATTCAAAAAGTCGGATATGGCGTATTGGGCCCCAACCTAGATACCAGCAGAGGCCTTCCTAAGCCTACATCGATCTTCTCGGCTGAGGCAGCTGCCATCTTCTCAGCCGTTACGGAGTCCAGTTTTTCCTAGAAGGCCATCCGAGAGTCCGAAGAACCGACACCCGTTGGTGCAATCAATCAGAATGGCTTCGAACAGTAACACTGTATATGCCTGGGTTCCCAACCACTGCAATATCAGTGGAAACGAGGCTACGGACAAGCTGGCAGCGATCGGCAGACCGAAAACCCCAGTGGAACCGGAAGTCCCTACAGCGGATTTAAAAATCTGGATCAAAACGATCATCGCTTCGGCATGGGACAAGAAATAGGCATACCCGAGACCCTTTCTTACGCAAAATAAAAGGAGATACGTAATGCTGGTCCGACACCAAAAACTGGAAGGACCAGAGAGTACTGTCCAGATTACGCTGCGGCTACACCAGATTCTCACACGATCTCGGATCCCGTGACGGATTCCACAAACAATGTATGAGGTGCTCAACCAAAATTTCAATTGAGCATCTCATAATAAATTGCCCTGCACATCAAAACCTTCGAGACCAATACGGTATCGGTCTCAGCATCAGAGACGCATTATCCAATGACCCAGACAGGGAAAGATCACTTCTCGACTTCCTTAAAGACACAGGCTATTATCAATATACGTAGAACCCCGCAACGAACAATAACACAACGGACGAACGACGGCACTTGGACAACACCAGCTTTCTAAATGACATGTCAAACGGAAGAACAATGATGACAACCCCGCAGGCTACGGACATTGACTCTCTCTCTCTCTCGGAAATTACCCACAACTTCGTTTACCTTCCTTACTGTTAAAACAATCGACACAGAACTCTAAAATACTTAAACTCTGTAACAAACACTATGTAATTTATTTATTTCCTCTCTCCGGGGCCCCCTCAGGAGCCCCAATCCTTCAACGAGACGAACCAGTTACAGGCTGAAAGTCTCTATAGTAAAGCAAAAAAAAAATGTTTATTCAACCCAGCGTTATATGAAAAATTTAATAATACTATGTATAAAATAATTTAAAATGCATTTGTAACGTTAATAATCAATTGTGAGTTGATATTTTTCAATTTAGACTTAAAAAAAAAGTTACGTTATATCGAGGTTGCTTTATATCGAGGTATGACTGTATTGGGTGCAAACATTCATATCACGTGTTCTTATTGACTTCGTTCGGTAGCATTTAAACTAAAGTATCGTATCAAAAGCATAAAGTACCTGTTAACGCCTAAATCTGCTTGATAGGCCCAAAATGGGCGCTTAGGCCGAAGTAGTTCGCTACCCTATTACAACTAAAAGTGCTTTCGAAGGTCAGCTTCACTACCCTGTGCGGCATAACAGTCCCAGTAGCATTTTTGGCATAAATGAGTTATACATTGGAATCGATTTTCAAGTACCATCACTTTACAATGTACACAAAAAGTTTCCTAAATTTGTTCACAAAATATCGCAAAAAAATCCAAAACTATGTCCATCCATTCATAAGAGCCCATGGAAAAAAAATCTGCAAAAGCGTTTTTCTCAGTTTGCTGTTTTAACGGATGGTGCAACTATGCTAAAAAGGGCAAACATTAGAGTTCGTCACTTCAATCAAAGTTCTGAGTACGGCTCTGATAATAATATATCATGTAATAAATGGTAAATAAAGGAGGAGGAGGGGCATAGTGAACAGGTGGGGCATAGTGAGCATCCCGTGCACCAGCTTGGACTTCCGGCCGTTCTGAACAAATCAACTGGTAGTAAGTTCAATATCATTATGATATTGATCCTACCACCAATCAATTTGTTCCGAACGGCCGGAAGTCCAAGCTGGTGCACGGGATGCTCACTATGTCCCTCTTACCCCTACAATAATGTTAATAATAATAAAAAGGACTCACCATATGAACTAAATGTTTCCAGTAATTCCATCCAGCCGGTTGCAAGCTACTGATATTGAAACAATACAAAATCGGTAACTAAACGATCGTGGCAAATACTTCTTTGAACAGGTGACTTTTCTCACAGAAGAATATACTAAACTTCGGATTTGTTTTTGATTCACAACGGAAAACTGAATAACATATCCAATGAGCGGAATACCGATCATAACTACACTTGCAAATACCCTTTGTTCGACCACAAAAAACCTGTACTTCCAAACCTTTCTTCAAAAATGTGGAAAATCGTCTCCAGTTAAAAATCGGAAAACCACGACGATGAAAAAAATAGACGAGTAATTTGACAGCAGAGAATTTTTCGCGTCCGTTTAGAAGCAGGGCACACTTCGATCTCTATCCTTCATTTTCACAGTATCGATCAGAAACTTGCTGAACAGCAAATTTTGAATGGTAGATATTAGAGAGGATCTAGATCTAGACCCTCTCTAGCTGATATTCCATATTACTTCAAGATTTCTAAAGCACAAATCTTAGACACTGTTGTGACATCAATTAATAAATTGGAACTCCTTGTGTACTGCACTGCAGCAACCGTGAAGTTCCAGTTTCATTGTTGTATGTTTTGTGAGAGCTGATATTTTGTGCTCTTGAAATTTTGAGGTGGTAATGAGATTGATCAGAAATAAGGTTTCCGTGCCAGCTGTAACAAGCCTGCAATTATGCGTCCACCGGCAGTGCAGGGCATAAATGCATCCATTCCTACCTCAATCACGATTACTTAGTAGGTATTGCGCATTGGGGATCTTTTGAAAATACTCCATAAAATCACACACGAGTCTCCGTCGAACATTAACCACGTCTTCAATATGTGAGGTTTTATTTGCTCTAGATCAAGAGATCGTTTTTCGACTCCAGTCTAATCTTTCAGAAGGATGTATGTGTTCTTATATGTGGGGAAGGAGGAGCATAGTGAGCGTCCCGCAGTTTGGCCCTGGATCTCTAGCTGCAAGAAACAAATCAACTGGTAGTAGGTTAAATATCATTATGATATTGATCCTACCACCAAACAATTTGTTCCGAACGGCCGGAAGTCCAAGCTGGTGCACTTACCCCTATTTATCAAAAAATCTTAAATCGAAAACCGTTGATTGTAACAAAATATTTGCTCTATTTTGGTTAGTCAATTCCAATTGAAAACTATTCAACAAAGTCGTGCTGTCAGTTCTCATGCTTTGTGCAATAGCACCACATACATTCCCAAGCACAAATACAACCGCTATGGATTGCTTTGCGTCATAGACTTATGTTCCGTTTTTCCTCTTATTATCTCCCCCCAGGACATCGCACCCAAGGTCACGCCCCGTTTACCGAAGAAAACGAAAGCGGCGACGACCGCCGACGGGGCCAAAGCGTCCAAGGCCGTCAGCACCAAGAAGAAACCGAAGATACTGCGCAAACCTCACCTGGAGATTGAGTATGAAGTGGAAACCGCACCAGCGAGGCATCGGTTACATAAATGAGGTAACAGAGCGAAGGTTGATTGGTTTAATTTTATGTTTCACGTCTGAATCAGAAAAAAAAGTGGAAAGAATGCGTTCTTTCCGTGAATACCGATATAAAAAAAAACATGTAAGCTTATATTATTTACTAAAAGGTAATAAATTGAAACACACCATTCTACTTGAAGACAGTAGGCAAGTGATATCGAAAAAAATGTTCCTTACGTGATGACATTGCACGTCGTTTTTCAGCGAGGGATAATTACGATAATTAGCGCAATTTAAACCCCTGCCTCTCTCTCTCTCTCTCTCTCTCTTTTTCTGCCTCATAGATTTGAAGGTCAACAGCAATGACGTTTTATTTCGGATGATTCAATAATACAGTTTTCAATCTCTCTATACGACATTTTTAGTTTTTATTTGCTTTATCATTACCTTTAATTACTGCTCATACGCTTCACAAGTAATTGCAAAAAAAAAAATTAAATTAAAATATGAAGTAAATTAAATACACAGAATTTCATCTTCTTCTTCTTGTTCCTCCGTTTTCTCTTGTTTGTCACTTCGTTTGTTTGTTGGGTCTAAATATTGAGAATGAGTTTGTTCTGTCCGTTTGTCCGTCTTTCTTCAGTTATTTGCAAGTCAAGTTTTATGAGGCATTTATTAAAACTCGATCGTGTTGATTACATTAGGTTTTGACTCGTAAATCAAGTGATATACTACTGTATGGTAGGTAAGGATTAGAGCTTCCGTTTGCACCGGTAGATGGCGCAAAGACTGGACTTCGAAGGGAGAACGAGAAAGTACAAGGTAGTAAAATATTAGAAAATTTCCCTCGAAGTATGCCGAGGGTGAAGGGGGCGGGGGCTTCGGTACTCTTAGTCGGTGGTCCCTGCGGCTTGCCTCAGCAGCACGTAAATCTTCTCCTTGATCCACTCCTTGTTGTACGGGGCGTACGTGTTGGTTGACTTTTGATACACGAGGCAGCTCAGATCCGCTAGCTGGAACGAATGAATGGGAGAAAATACGGAAACAAATTAGAAGGATTGCACACTTTCGATCATATCTACACTCCCGATCAGAAGTTCCCCGGCCATTGGCATAACCTTGAGGATTGCTTATCTGCAACCAGGTCCCAGGGCTTGTCTGTATCTTTGCATTTTGAAAGATGCACACTAGTGATGCCAGTTGTGATGCAGCGGACCAAAAATTTGTTGGAATTTAATTAATTGTGTAGTTTAGAATTGAGGGGGTTAGAAGGAATGGGGTGTAAGTGACTTTGAGCGATTCCCTTCATTGACTTTCTTTTTTGATAGCCACAGCTTTATAAACAGATGTTCGCTATTTCTGCCACATAGTTTGAAAGGTGAGGTTCTCATCTAGCATCCAGAATGGCACACGAATCCAGGAATGTGTTTCAAAGTCACTTACACCCCTTTCCTTCTAACCCCCTCAATTATGATTTTAACTATGAATTGTTTTTCTACATAATTGAGTCTAATGGCTGCAAAAATTATTTATTTATTTGGTTCAAAACTTTTGGAATGCGGCATCACACAGGTGCTACCTTTGAATTTGGCTTGATCGAGTGGCGATTTCTTTTCTTTAGATCGGATTATTGGCAAGAGGTGGCTAATAGCTGAAGCGAGTTTAAAACAACCACGACAAGATTGTTCATTGAAATGGTGGAATCGGAATACGAAGACTCGGAAGATACGCTCAGTGATTCAAGTTAACTAGGGCCCTCATGGAGACACCCTTGACGAAATAACTCTAGGAGTTAAAAGTCAAGTAAATGTTAATGCCTATCCTCAGCCTAGAACATCCCAGATTTCAGAGCTTTCTCTAACGACGAGGATGATGCTTTCCCAGGATTCGTCTAGTTAGTATCATAATAATATACCATCGCGCTATTGTCAAACTCTGTGATGTTAAAATCAACTAACAACTTCCTTTACTTTTCACCAATCTCGATCATTATTAACAGGTAAATATTCATTTTATTCAATTAGCATATTATACTGTCATTATCATGGCAACTAATTCATGTAGGCATATTCAATTGACCTGCATTGGGTTATTATTTTGCATGCAATGATATGGGAAAAGGGGGGACTCACGATTCAGCATGGAGAGTGATCACGATGATCCACTCACATTCTGGGATGTGGCCTTGAAACTTAAGAAAATCTACACTTCCGATCATAAGTTTGGGGTCACCTCCAAACTTGTTTTCCTTGCGCCATTTGAAAGGTATTGAATTAAACTTACTTCGTAAATAAATGGCTCAAATTATTTTTCAGATTTTGTATACTAAAAGTTTACCTTGATTGATGATCACCAAATTGAAATATTGTCAATATCGATGTATTGACGTTAATGTAGAATATATTGTCAATATACGCAATCGTGTAGGGTACACTAAAGTGCCGATAGAACTCTTATTCAATACCCAACGGGCTCCAGTTGTAAAAATTTGGTGAAAAATTAATGAAATAGGGTAGAGCACTACTTCGGCCTAATCGCCCATTTTGGGCCTATCGAGCAGAAAACATCAAATAAATCCATTGTTTCAGAGTTAACAAGTCAATTATGCGTTTGGTACGATACTTTAGTCTAAAAGCTACCAACCGAAGTCCATGATATGAATGTTTACACCCATTTTTCTCAAAAAACCATTTTTATCTTCATCCGATTCAATGACGTTTTAATCCGTTAGGCCGAATTTAGAATCCGTAGGCCGAGTTTGATTGATTGATTTCTTTATTATAGAGACTTTCAGCCGTTGGCTGGTTCGTCTCTGAAAAGATAGTGTGGGGTCCAGAAGGGACCTCATCTAGTTACAAAGTTTTTTTTTTCCTTTTTTATCATGTTAGGAGGTCTATAAGGGGCCTCCTCTAGTTAAATACTGAGGCTGTCAATGTGCTGTCTTTCTTCGGAGTTTTGGTTGTTAAGTTGCTGAGGATCTTGCTTTGGTTTGAGATGTTGGGTGATAAGAGAAAGTCCATTTGTATTGCGGTGGTCGGGTTTTTTGCAGGTTTCATATTTAGTCGAAGAAGCCGGCCTCGCGGAGGAAGCCCATTAATGCTGTGATTCTAGTCGGGTCGTTACTCAGTGCATCCTTAATGCTGCCCGGTATGCCGTACAGCACTCGTGAGCCTTCGTATTGAGTACAGTGGCAGATTATGTGTTCCACTGAACAGTTGGTGCGGCAGAGCTCACAAAATTTCCGGAACGGGCCAATTTCCGAATGTACGCCTTCTGACTGAGGCAATACTGATCGTTCTTCTTCTCTACCTGTATTCCAACGAACTGTTGAACATCTCCAAGTTGGGTTAGGTCGAATTCGGCTCCCAAGCGCCTGAAAATCTCATCGTACTCCTGCTGACTTGAACTTGCGACCAACATGTCATCGACATACAGCAATATGAATGTCGCTTTCTGACCTCGATGACGCACATACAAACAGGGGTCTGCATCAGACGGCTTGAATCCCATTTGTCGTAGAACACTATCGATTTTCTGGTTCCACATCCTTGCCGATTGTCGAAGGCCGTATATGCTCTTCTTCAACAAGCAAACTGTACTACTCATCGTAGATTTCACTCCAGGAGGCACTCACCGTTGAGATACGCGGTCTTGACATCTATATGTTTCACTATCATACCTCTCCTAGCTGCGATAGTAAGTAGTGTCCGAAAGGTTACCTGCTTCGCAACGGGAGCAAATATTTCATCGAAATCCGTACCGTAGACTTGGGTGAATCCCTGGGCAACGAGACGTGCTTTATAACGAATCACGTTCCCGTCCTCGTCATACTTACGTTTGAACACCCAGCGGCATCCTACGATTTTCCTTCCAGGTGGTGCATCGGTTTCCTCCCAGGTTTGATTTTTCCGAAGCGATTCCAGTTCATCCAATATTGCTTGAATCCACTGCATCTTTTCAGATCCACTGACAGCCTCCTGATAAGAACGTGGTTCGCCAGACAACTCCTTCACGGGACCGTTAACCTGATAACGCTGTGACGGAACTCCAAAGTTACTACGCCGCGACCGACGCATTTCGCCGTCCGGCAGCTCCTCCTGTTCCTCGTCTCCACGGTAAAATGAACTTGCTTCAAATCCTTCGAAATCTTCTCCATCTGCATCTTCATATTCACTCAATACACTTCCATTTTCATCATCAATTTCAGGGCCAACTTCATTCTGCACCGTTAGTGGGAACTCAACGACACTATCTGATTCCTCCGAAGCCTGGTTTGTCGGACGGAAAATCTCCAACTGCTCCTGCTTCAGAAATCTTACATCCCTGCTTATGACGACCTTGTCCGTTTTCAAATCAATCATTCGGTACCCCTTATGCTGCGAAGAGTACCCGATGAATGTCATCCGTACGGTTTTTGGTTCCAGCTTGGTGCGTTTTTCCGAAGGAACTAGAACACACGCCTGCGAACCGAACACGTGAAGATTCTCCAAATCTGGCTTCTTCTTGAAAACGGTCTCGAAAGGAGTTGTATCTCTGACCCTTGTCGGAAGTATGTTCTGCAAATAGTTGGCAGTATTAACAGCTTCCGCCCAATATTTCTTGCCCATGTTGGCATCGAGCAGCATGCATCTGTCCATCTCCACAAGCGCCCGATTTTTGCGCTCCGATACACCGTTCTACTGTGGTGTATACGCCGTAGTGAACTGCTGGAATATTCCCTCTTGTGCACAGAACGCTTGCAACGAATTAGCCTTATACTCCCCTCCTTGATCCGAGCGAAGCACCTTCGGTGGCCTTCCGAACTGCGTTTTGGCCATCCACACGAAGCGTTTGAAGCAATCTTCCGTCTCAGACTTTTTGCGAAGGCAAAAAATCCAGCTGTAGCGACTGAAATCATCTATAAATGATACGAAATAACGGCACCCTCCCGGCGTTGGAGTATTCATAGGCCCACACACGTCGCTGTGGATGATATCAAGCACTGCGGTCGACTTTTGCTCTGCCTGTTTGGGAAACGGAAGCCTCGCCATCTTCCCCTTCAAGCAGCACTCACACACCGCACGGATACCACAAGGTTGGATACGGATACCGTTCGCTAATCCACTTCTCTCCATTTCCAGTATGGCCTCTGGGTCACGGTGTCCCAATCTTCGGTGCCATTCATGGATGCACAACGGGTTGTGGCTCTTCGCTACCGCCAATGTTGGCTTGCTCACCAGTCTCAGTAAATACAAGCCACCGACAAGCACAGCCTTCATTATCCACTTCCGCTGCTGTTCGCCCTTCGCGAGAGATAGTACAACCAGAAGCAGAAAAGCTCACCTCAGCTCCCTTCCTGATCAAGCAACCAACGGATATCAAATTGGCCTTCATCTCTGGAACGTAAAGTACCTGTACCTTGGTACCTTGGCCCTCAACGAGGCAAGAGATCCGGCACGTTCCTTCGCCTTCCACCGGACACTTGCGGCCGTCAGCCACCACCACAACACTAGGTGTTTCCAATCTTCCTACTTTTGCAAATTCTCCCACGCACTTTTCGCTGACGTTGTGTTCCGGATGAGTGCATGTTGGGTCTCTTCCACCAACAATCCGATCGTCGCTCTTGCCTTTTGGTCTCCCGCTTTCCAAGCAGCAACTTCCGCAGCATTCCCGGCACGTTCACTCGTCGCAACAATCGCTGCTGGTGGATCTCCTGGGTTCACATATTTCCACAGGTCTTTCCTTACCAGCAGTAGCTCGACAGTGAATTTCCAGCTGCCATAGTTCTGGTTGTTTATCTTCGGAATTCCTAGGCGCTCCATTTTAACCACACATTAGCACACAAATGTTCGCACTTTTACTTTGCTGAGTCCATAACCTCTTGAAATAAAAAACACACGATGTGTACTGTTACCACAGACAAACAGACGTAACTCTTTGAAAAACTTGTTCTTGAAAACATAGTATCTCAAAACATATAACCTCAGCAACGACATCTCTCTGGCTTCTCGCGGAAAACAAACTTGCTCACTAA